TGAGAAAAAATGACTGGTTTTGTAATACACAAGTTTGTCCATCCCTCTTACTTTATTACAGATTTTGTTTTCTAATAGCTGATTAGAATATTAAACATGTAAAATTACATGTCCCTCCTCCAGCCCAGCCAGAGACCTACCCTGCCTCTCAAGAGAGGTGATGTGCTCATGCAAATCCTTGCTGGCTACTAGTTTGATTTCATTCATGCCATTTCTCTACTACTAGTAGTATTTTTTCCAAGTATTTTAATATCTTTGTTTTGGGTATTGTTGTGTTGTTCTTCTCCTTTCTCCAACCTGAATTGTAATGGTGAAAGATCCTCTGTTCTCAAATGTTTGTTATTTGTCGTTAAAAACACTCAAAATTAGTGGATTACATCTGAATCTCAGGTGTGTAAGAATTTAAAACACCTCCACTGATAGGGAAATTGTGCCAAAAAGGAGTGAAGTTTGAAAGTTCACTGAATGAATTTTATATGTTGCATAAATCTGGTTATTAGTCTCTTGCCCTGATATGAAAAGCTTAATTGTAGTATTTGAGTGCTATGCTTGGTCTTTAATTTTAAAGGCAAATTACCCTTGTAGTTATTGTAATTTCACTCTTATGTTGATAGTTTGGTCATTTAGTTCTATTTTCCTCAACCAAAAAAAAGAAACAAAAAAAAAAAAAAGAAACAAAAAACAAAAAAATTGAATTTCTTACCATGTTACAATTTAATGCAATTGATTATGCCTTTTGTAGAAATTGGGTTGAGATGAAATTTGGTGATTATGATGTTAGACATCCAATTTGAAAAGGGATATAAGCCTCCTGTTTTTTAAAACGAGGATGTTAGTCTCAACGATGTGGATGCTATTTTCGATGAATCAGGCGTAACTATATCTTGTTTATAATTTCAGTCAGAAAATATTTGATCATCTACCCTTTCGGTTAGTATTTGAGGAATAGGGCATTGGGGGTGACTTTAATTGTGATTTTTGTTTTGATGTGCAGGACAATCAAAACCTTGTCGGGGAAAGACGGGAAGAACAACTTGTGAATCCTGTCTTCATGAACGCTTTTGAATACTTATATCTAAATCTTAGGGTCTCAACCTCAGTTCTCTATTTGAAAAGCAAATGGTATGTTAGAGGCTTATAGCTTTTTGATTGTAATGTTTTGGTAACTGAGCTATCAGATGTAGTGATCTTTAGAATCTGAGCATTCCATGCATTTTTGTCACTTAAGTCAGAGTTCTTATCTCATATCATGAATGAACCAGCTGATATTTAGCTTTTTAAACTTGTTTGATGATGAATATTTCCAATAGTTAATAGTTGAATGACTAATAACTGTCTCTATTATATTGGACAGACCCTGAGCCGAAGCTTCAAGGGGAGCAAACTGGGCGCAAGGGTCATTTATCTGTTGCAACAGAGGTATAATCTTTCAGGGGTCACCTGTTGAGTGAAAAATCAGGAGATGAAACAAAAGAAGAAGCAAATGATGGTCAATATACAGTAGTAATAGCAATTACCATATTTCAATTGAATATTGTGTGATGGTTTTTGAATGGGTAATGGTAATGCCACAACTTTCATTGTCGGTTCCATGCTGAAAATGGTACACAACACAAGCTAAGTATATTTGTTCCATATTGAGTGGGCTAGGGGGTTGAATCGATGCTTACCAATTATTGTCCGTTGATTGCTTATCATGGCCTGGTTCATTATTTGTGTTTTGGTTCAATGTGAAAAACAAACCAAAAAAATAAAAATAAAATAGAGCCTATCAATAGAAATAGAGGATTTGGGCTTTGATCATGAGTTTCCTTTATTTTAAAGTTTTTAGTTGTAAGACAATGCATTTGTTCACTATTTGCGGTTCACAAAACTGATGCTCATTAATTTTTTACCACTGTTTATGGCTAGTCTTAAATGTATTGAATATATACTGAGTAGTGAAATATGATTTGGAATGGTCCTCAATTTTGGCTTAGAAATTCTGATTGTAGGTAAGGTTTTTTTATTTTATTCTGTGAGCCCTGTCTATTGGAACAAACTTATGTTTAGCTCTTGGGTTCCATGTGTCAGTGAGTCTTACATAATAACTGTAGGGCATGATAGATCTCTATTGTGAAGCTTTAAGTTCTGTTTGTTATGCTTTTCTGGTTTATAAAGAGGATGACTGTAGGACAGACTATCTTCCCTCTTCAATTTGATGACTTGATGAGGTATTTATGTCCTGTTGGTTCATTGTCTGGCCTTCTTTTTTTGTTGTGCATATAACTGATCTAGTATGTTGAATTTACATTGAAGTTTTGACCCGATATCATGTTAATCAACTTGGGCTGATTTGAGTTGTTTGCTTCAATGGGGTCCACTGATTGGTTGTTATGATGACCTCTGTAATACATATTGTTTAATGGTTATTAGATTTGTGATTTTATTATTTTTGTGCAATGGAACTCTAATGATGGTTCTTCTCAGTTGGTATTGATGTTTTACCCTTTTTGCTTATTCCAGTAATCAAGTTCATGTAGTTTGAGAAGATATGTTGCAATGTCATTGATTCAACACCATCTCCCAGGTATATTTTTTTCTAAGCTCCAAGGTATATATATATATTTTCTGTTTTGGAACCATGTAGTTTGTTGGCTAAACCATGTAGTTTTGCTAATCATGTAATATGTTGTAGTTCCTTTGTCAAAAATACTTTATAAGAACATTTTTATTTTAGGATCATTTTATTTTATGTATAGAGAATTTTGATGCTGACTTTTGAATTTTGGTCACAAGTCATTTATTATTCGCAATGATTATAATTTGCTAACTATTTATTTTATTTTATTTATTTTTTTGTGGTTGGTTTCTCTATTTGAGCTTCAACAATTTAACTGGACAGATTTCGAATGCACTGTTCAATTTGAGTTCTCTCTCTTACTTGTAATAAACATCTTCTGCCCTGTTGTTTCAAAAAAAAACTCCCAGCATGTACTCTTTATTCCTTGAATTAATTTCTTTATGCTCAGGTTTCTTGGGAATAATAAATTAGCTGGTACCCTTCCTGCCCAAATGAGTACATCTCTCCTGAATATGCAAGTATTTCTTATATAACCATTCATAGCTTAATTTAAACACATGTAAATGGGTGTTATCAACAAACTTCTTTTGTAAGTTTTGAAGTTCATTCCTTCTTTGGTCTATAACAATTATCAAGAGATGTTTGTTTTCTAATACAGTTTCTCAAGTTCCATGATTATATATAGATTCAAAAGCATAATCCACTATTGAACTACAATGATACATCAGAGATTAATCATTTTTGCCATTTGATTTTTATTAATAGCAACATATTTTTTAGACAACCCTGCTATGTATGCAAGAAAATCATGTAATAGGCACGGCAACAACCCTAGTACCCTTGAAACTGAGACTAACAGTTTCTACATTGACTTGTACCCTTGAAACTGAAACTGACATTGAGATTTTCTGGGGTGTAATGAGCAGTAATTTAGTGGCCTTATCACAGTGGAAAGTTCAAGCAACAGGTGATTCTCTCCCTGCTGTATGCTTTTGTTTTTATTACATACGATTCTGAACATTCAGTAAAACAACACTCAATGAAAGTTAGTTTCTTTCCCGTTAAATTGTTTTAGCATTGAACAACATGAGTTGGTTACCAGCACCTGCTTGAGCAGTCAAACATACGTGACAGTGCTGTTGAATGCAATAGTTTTTTTGAACTTTTTATGATGCTAATATGTGCTCATAAATATATGTGAAATAATGATGATGGCACCTTTCTACTTTTGAAGATATGGAATATTTCATTGATCTTATCTGTAGTCTAGATATCCAGTTGAATGGGATTTACTGTATATAATTATGTTTTTGTGTTTCAGTGTACATTATTTCTCTTCTGCATTCTTTATAATGGTCTTGTGTATTGGATTTGATATGATTGCCTGATAACTAAAGAAACACTAAAGATTTTTGTGATTGTTTGACAGCTAAAGGAAACTACTACAATAATATGCATTCTTCCTCTGCTTTCAAGCCTTCAGGATTAAGGTGTCTTCAAAGAAATTTTCCCTGCAACCGCAATTCTCCTGTCTGTAAGTGCAGTTTAGAAATTTCCTAAACTACAATTCTGAGAGTAGAATATGTATATCCATAATACAAGGATAAATGGGATCACATCTATTTGAGATCAGTGTATGAATTTTACTCATTAATTTTTAATATGCAATTTTGAAACATAGATTATATAATTTGGTGTAGTGGACAGAATGGACTCAAATGTGTCTTTCTATTGTTGAGAGAATTCCAAGCCATAAAGTGCATTGAACCCATTAAAACATATATGAACAACGAGATATGGCTGATATTTACTTTTTGTTAATTGAATGACGTAATTGAATTCAATTTGATAATTTTTTTCTTTCCTATTGATTGACAGATTTTAACTTTTCAATTAAGTGTGGTGGTCCACAGATTACATCAACAATCAGATTATTTACGAGGGGGATAACGAGACTCTGGGTCTAGCTTCATATTATGTTACTTGTATGCATAATTAGTTCGAATTGCATCTAGTTTGAATCGCATCTTTTGTGCCGGTCTGTTTTGTAATAACTTTCAACTTATCACTAGGCACTAGTTTAAGTTTATTTCATCTTGGAATTGAAATATTTTTGGATATTGAGAAGCATGAATTGATCCAGTATTATGTTTACTTAAATTTAGTCAATATATTGAATATTTTTTATCTTTATTAGAAGTAAATTTTTAGTTAAATCTCACAGAATTAACACAATTTCAAAAAAAAAAAATAAAAAATTGAAGCTATAACGCCATTATAGAGTAATGTCAACGGTTATATTTTTCAAATAGAAAAGGTCTATCACGACGTTTTTAAAACGTCGCTAAATGTGATGTGACGTCATTGTACCGTTATGCATTATATTTAGCGGCATTTTAAAAAACGCCGTCTATAAAATAATACAGCGACGCTTTCACTACAACAAAAGTTGGCTATAACCACGTTTGTTAGACAACGTTTTTTGAAAAACGCTGTGGAATAAAGTGAAATTACGCGTTATCCTTTATTATAAACACGCGTTCCATTTATAACAGTGCTCACTCTCCCCCAGTCTTTATTTCTCTTATCGTTTTCTCTCACTGTAGTATAGATTGAATGATCTAGGGTTTATGTCTCTCTCCCCAGTCTCCTTGAGAGATTCACCAGGTTCGATTGCGATGACTTGTTCAGATCTAATTCTAAATCCATCGATTCTTGAATCGATTTGGTTGAAATTTCTTGACGGTTTTTGTTTTTCTTGATTCTAATTCTGATAATTTTGCAGAGGAAGATAGACCAGTTGAGTGAAGAAGGATCGAGATCAGTGGGATCAAGACAGGAACCGGGACCGAGATCGGTCGAGTCGGAGCAAGGGGAGGAGAGGAGATAAGTTGATTCACAGGAGTAATAGAGAAGATGGTGGTGAGGACAGTTCAGAAGAGAGCGTGAATGATGAGGAGGACGATGACGATGACGATGACGATGGAGTCGCCGCCACCGCCGCGGTGAGGATGTTGCCGCCTAATCCAACGACGTCGATGTCGTCTTCATTACTGAACCACCACCATCAGCACCGGAAGAGCTTTCCTCTGCAACTACAAAATCGTCGATGTCGTCGATGTCATCTTCAATGTATCTCTTTAATTAATTGTCAATGTGTAAATTTTAAACTTGGCCATCCTCATTTCATGTCTTTTGCTTGTTTCTGCTATAAATTTTGATCGTTCCAAGCTTTTGAGGCATAATTTGCAGAAGAAGAGCATGGAATCTATGTTAGTTAGGGGAAGTTTTTATGTGTATCAGATCTCTTTTAACCTCCCATCTGTAGCTTTATTCCTTGAAAACCCATGTTTATTGTTTTGGATGATTCTTTTAACCTCCCATCAGGCCACCTTTAAAGTAGTTGATTTGGTGAGTTTGACCTTCTTTTTTTTTTGTTTTTATTTAAAGGTTTGATTGTTTGATGGTACTCGATTATCGATGTTGATGTTTTTTTTTATATATCAAATTATGTATATGGTTCATAGGATGATTATGCGGTAGATGATGAGGAATATGAGGAGAAGTCGAAGAAAGAGAGTTTGGCATTTTTCTTTTTAGCTATGTGAGTTTTTAATTCCTACCTTCCTCGTTAATCACATACAGACATGATGTATATATATATATCTGATTGTTTGTAACTTTGTGCGTAGGTGTAGCTATGTATTAAATTTATTTTCTTGTTTGTTTGTGCTGTAGATATGAAAATGGTGAGCCAACGGACAATGCTGCAAGGTTCTATAAATGGTTTACAGAGATAAATTTGAATAATTTCAGTGTATATTGATATTATGGTTCTTTGAGAAAGTAGATTTGGGGGGTTCATTGTTTGTTATATATGATTTTTCATAGGGTAAAGAGAGAGGGGAATGGCTTCAGAATCTTACTTATGGAGTGTTTGGCCTTGGCAATAGACAGTATGAGTACTTTAATAAGGTCTTAATTGAATTTCATCTCATCTTTTTATCAACTTAATGTATATCTATGTGTACATGTATAAAAATTGTGATCTTGTGTCGTGCTATATTTCAAGTTGCGTTCTTTGTTAAATTGTTTGACCCTGTGGTGTGTTATGCAGAATCAGTCCCACACACCCACCCCAAAAAAAAATAAAAAAATAAAAGGTAGAAGGTGGCGTTTTTTAAAAAAACGCCACTAAATGACGTCATCATGATGTCAAACGTTATTTGTGACGGAATTGTAAGCGGCTGTCAAAGTTTTTGTGGCGTTTTAAAAAACGCCGCCTAATTTTTTAGCGACGTTTTCCAAACGTTGTAAAGCTATTGCAACGGCCGTATCAGCGACGAAAATATTGAACGTTGCTGTACTCTTTTATGGCGTTTTTCAGTATTTTACCGGCGTTTTTAAAACGCCGTTAAAACTCAAAATTCCTGTAGTGTTTTAAAGCGTCATAAAGCTACAGCGACGGCCACATCTTCGGCGTTTGGCACAAAACGTCACAAAAACAATTAGCGGCGTTTTCAAAACGCCACTAAAAACCTAATTTCCAGCAGTGTTGCTTGAATCTTGTCCAACTGTTTTGAGTTACCAACAATTCGATAGCAAATTGTAATGACTGTGAACATAACCTTAAGTTTTAGATTGAATAATATAATCTTGTGTATGCATGTGATTTATAATTCTTGTTTATTATTAATTTTAAAATTTTTCATTTCTCAATAAAAGAATGAAATTACCCATCACCAAACAATAATAATGCTAGTGAGAGTAGCAACAATTAATTCACCCACGCATTATTTTCCAAAGAAGGTTTTCAGTTTTTTGTTATTTTTTTTTACTTCATCAGTATTTCATTTTTGTTTCACCAATTAATAGCAATGCATACAGTGTACCAATGTAATAAAACAAAAATTTCAATTATTTTCAATGTAGATCCTTAAATCAAAGATTATTCGATAGAAATCATTCGGTGATCCTCTCAAACCAAGAATAGTAATAATGAGACGGATGGGTGAAACCAATCTAACTTAATAATTATAAGTACTATCACATGTGGACAAACTATTTGAGGGCAAATAATTCAGTCACCAATCAAGTAAGAAATTAAGGGAAAACAATTAATTCATTCATTTTTTTGCAAGAAGGTTTATGAGTCCTTAATTTTGGTTTTTCCAATTAATAGTAATGGGTGCATTGACCAGTGTAACAATTAAATTCATAAGGCGGACCCAACCTAGCTCACTTTTGGATTCAATATAAAGTCAGTGAGATGAAAAAAAAAAGAAAAAAAAAATTATTATTTGCATAAAGACTGATTACAGAATCAAAATTATATCCCATTTTATATCCATTTTATGACTAATTTTCAAAATTTTATACTTCTAAAAAAAATAAAAATAAAAGATGACTTCCTACATTACTGATTTCCAAAAGCCAAATTTGGGTCAACCGGACCCAATGTCCAACACACACACACATCCAATCCAAGTTCGCAGAAAAAGCAGCAGAGGTTTTAAACCTGCAATCAAATTGTAAAAGGCCTAAAGCATGGACCCACATTACTTGGTTGATCGGCAGCTTATTGCAACAACAATTTTCGATTTTTATTAGACGAACCCACCTTATTTTGTCTGCTGTATCCGTCACATTGTTTACATGATATCATAAGTTTAAAAAAAAAAAAAATTATGAGTAATCAAGAGATAATAAATAATTCAAATTTTATAAGATAATACTAATTTTTGTTAGATAGTTAATAAACAAGATATAAGTCTAATTATGTAATGACAAATTATTTGGTGATTTTAGACAAATCTATGTGTTATCTCAACTTGATATTCATTAGTTAAAATAGTAGACCTTAATATTTTTTATTGACATTTTAGAGACTGATTAATAAATATCATGATAGATAGTATGAAGTAATATTCTAAAACTATCAAATGAATCAATGGTGTAGAAATTTATTACAGATTTATGAAAGAATTTAAAATTTTAATTATTGATGAGTATAAAGTTTACCATTGGTTAGGCTGCAGGTAGGCAGGTCGCATGATATTGTAGATGTGCCCCGCGAGAACTATCTGATATCCACGCGCGATGGGCACGAATGTCGTTTTGTTCTAAGCTATTACAGTTCGGACTCAATGTCATGGTTCTGAATCTAAATCTCACAAAGTGCAATGTGAGACCGATAAATCACCAAAGAGTCCAAATTTGGCAAATCGTTTTGAAAAACTGATTTTTATAAAGAAGTGTCAAATATGGACTGGTTTGCCAGATACAGAGTCGCCACCTAAATATTTTATTTTGGGGGAAATTTAGGAAACCCTGACTCATGCCTAAGGCCACGTGTGCGTCATCACCAAAGTTGATGACAAATTATTTGGTGATTTTAGACAAATCTATGTGTTATCTCAACTTGATATTCATTAGTTAAAATAGTAGACCTTAATATTTTTTATTGACATTTTGGAGACTGATTAATAAATATCATGATAAATAGTATGAATTAATATTCTAAAACTATCAAATGAATCAATGGTGTAGAAATTTATTACAGATTTATGAAAGAATTTAAAATTTTAATTATTGATGAGTATAAAGTTTACTATTGGTTAGGCTCCAGGTAGGCAGGTCGCATGATATTGTAGATGTGCCCCGCGAGAACTATCTGATATCCGCGCGCGATGGGCACGAATCTCGTTTTGTTCTAAGCTACTACAGTTCAGACTCAATGCCATGGTTCTGAATCTAAATCTCACAAAGTGCAATGTGAGACCGATAAATCACCAAAGAGTCCAAATCCGGCAAATCGTTTTGGAAAACTGATTTTTATAAAGAAGTGCCAAATATGGACTGGTTTGACAGATACAGAGTCGCCACATAAATATTTTATTTTGGGGGAAATTTAGGAAACCCTGACTCATGCCTAAGGCCACGTGTGCGTCATCACCAAAGTTGTCTCGGCTCGGGAACTTGGGTACGAGAGAGGAAGGTCATACAATGAGCACCCCTGCTTGCCCGATCAAAGATCGGCCTGTACTAAGCATGATATTTTGTTTTTGAAAACACATGTGCTCTTATTCCGGTTAATTAGCTAATCTTACTACGTGATGCGCACAACATACAAGTATAGACTAGATCGCCTAATTTGGAACAAAACATTGTATGTTCGTTTGTGAAAATAATTTGGAGTTTGCTACTCGCAAGTAGGCTAAATCGGGGATTTAATGAATTGTTCCAATTCAAGTAATCCAACCTTCACCCACAGACATTCAGGCAGTTATATCAAATAATTAGTAAGCCTCATGGCAAGCATGCTGAACATGGCAGTCAATAACACACACGCAGTATGCTAAAGCGTAAACACTCATAGTGTACTCTGAGCCAAAACAAAGAACTAGTTAGAAATCATGCATGATCCTAGTTCATTTTAAGATGGCTAATGCAACACATGCAAGAATGCGACTAAAACAGGCTCGGCTATTCTAGAATGTCATGTGAAATGCAACTTCATAACATGCTGTTGAACACGTATTCAAGTAAATGTATTGAAATACAATGTTGGTTTGTATGATGCGCCGAGCCCGGTGCATGCAATACAGATGAATGGATGCACGCATGCAAAGCATAAGGTATGCTAATCGAAAACATGCCCTAAAACTAACCATCGTAAACAGTTAAGTAAAAGGGAGAAAGAAATGGGGGTTGGAAGATATGCATCACACGCAGGCACGCTTATTACAACAATTGGCCCTCACGACGAAGGATCTGGAAAGAAGCTAACTAGCTAATCTAAGCTAATTAAACTACTTATTACATCACAAAACTAATTAACTAATCCTAGTTAACTAGTTAAGATATTACAACACAAATCGAATAGCTAATCGCATTAACTAATTAAGTACAAACCAAAGCATAAACTAGCAAAGCAAATTAACTAAGTAAAGCAGTAAAGCAAAGTCCACAGAGGGAAAGGAATGCATGCCCGGTCGTCTCGTTCGGAAATCCGTCGCGATGCCCCAATTTGCCTATGTTTGCAACTGCTCTCAGAAACTTGCACCAAGCTCCAGAAAGCTTCCAGCTCACCTTGGGGACCTGTGGGAGGGTGGCCGACCAGTTGTTGATGTGGGAGACCACCTATTGACCACTTTTTGTGGTTGCAAACCAGAAAAAGTGGTCGGCCAGCTAGTTTTTCTGGTTGGCCGACCAGTTATTGTTGCACTTCTCCAATTTGCTGCAACAGAGAGCAAGAAAGGGCATGGCAATGTATTTGCAAGATATGTGTGCACAACCACCCTCCCTATCATTTCATAAGCTCAAGGGAGTGTGGTTCTCGACCCTCGGGCCACCAATTACGTATTTCGATGCATGATGGCTGAGCACAAATCAATGTCAAATGAATGCACACAAAAACACATAAATGCCTTAACCTCTATCATGCATGATCAAGAGCGTCGACAACCGAGAATTAAGGCACATTTTATCACTTCAAGTATGAAACGTCCCTTGTTTCTCGTGTTTGGACTAACACCTATTCTAAACACAATACAACACATAACATGGCATGCACAATGCTATGTAACATGGAGCATGCCAAAATGCAATGCAACACAAGCATGCAAATATGCAAGATGACTTAAGTATGTAAACATGCAATGCAATATGAACAACCTAACAAGGCTAATGGCATGCATACACAATGCAATGTAAGATAAGCATACACAATACAAAGAACATGGCATATACAATGTGATGAATCAACATGCAAACAACATGGCATACTCAATGCGATGAACTACATGGCATACACAATGCTAAATGGACTTAAACCAAAAGTGGACAGACCTCAGCCATGCCCAAATCAGTGGCCATAACACCAAAACAAAGGCACAAAAGGGCAAGACAAACATGCTCATGCCTTGGCCTATCAAGTAGGCCTAAGAGCACAACCCTCAAGGGTGCTCAAGGAGTGATAAACATGGAAGTGTGACA